ATATAGATTTGATAAACATTTGAGCGTGTAATGACTCGCCACCCAGCTTCTTGATTAGCAGGGAAGCCGGCTCTATGCTCCCTTGTCACCAGGTGACAAGAAAGCATGGAGATGGCTTTCTGGCCAATCATGAAGCTGGGGGGCAGGTAATGATTTGCTGCTCGGCTACCTGATTGGCCAGCTTCCCAACCAATCAGAAAGCCAGGTAGCGAATCATTACATGCCGTCTGGCTTCCTGATTGGCAGGGAAACCAGCTTTATGCTCTCTCGTCACCAGGTGCCGAGATAACATGGAGCCAGCTTTCTGGCCAATCCGACCAATCAGGAAGCCAGGAGGCAAGTCAGTACACGCCCCCTGGCTTCCTGATTGGACAGGAAGCCAGCTCCCTGCTCCCTGGTGATGAGGAGGAAGCCAGGCGGCATGTAATGACTCGCTGCCCGGCTTCCTGATACCATAAGTTCTGGTATCGGGATAAGCATCAGGAGCAGTTGGGTGAGTACTCACCCAAATACTCGGTATCGGCACATCCCTAGTTGAAATTAATTTTAAAAGACAAAAAATTTGCATTTTAACATGGGAAAGTTTAAAAATTTGGGCCGACAGCCAAAAAGGTTACAAAAAAATCTTGCTGTAAATGCTTAAAATGTATCAGCTGGAGTTAGGCTTTGATATGTTTTTCACCTAAAGCCCATTTGAAGCTACGTCATCAAAGACTGTCCTGTCCACAGGGTAACAACGCTGCTTTGCAATTTCAAAGCGCTGTCAGCCCCTTAATGGAAGTGGATGAAAATCAGACCTAAATGCACTGTGCTTTGCCAAAATCAAAGGGCAGGTCTCTTTTCATGCATTAAGGCTTGTTAGGGGCCCATTGAAAGTGACTAACCTCATCTGCACCCACATTTTTTCCCAGTTGTCTTCTTCTTCATCAACTGGCCTGGGATAACATTATGGGAGTAAATTCATCCTGGCAAATTCATCCTGAGGCATGCTCAGCTCACACAGTGTACACTACACTCTAAAGAAATATTTGTGCAGAAAGGTAAGAAGCATTTATTATAGAAGAGACAGTATGTATCTTCTGCAGTAGAAAAAACTTCCTGCTCACAATTTTTTTTTATAAAGTAAAGTTTTATTAGTGGTACCTTAAAAGATAGAGAAACTTAGGGGAATATTAGGATTTCTATTTGTGTTGAAAGTTAGTGTACCATAACACCAAGAGGTTAAGCAAAGATTTCTATACTTTACTAATGGAAATGGGAAAAAGTCCAGAGCTCTTCAGGTCACTTAAGCAGGTTTATTAAAACTCAAGCAAATGTCAGTACTGCCCACAATATTTACTCAGATTCAAGCTTTCAAGCTGTTTTTTTTTTTTATAGCGCAGGTTATAAAATTAAACCTAAATGGTAAGTAACGATGGACAACATACACTTATTTACGTACATGTTACAAGTTAGCGATCAGAATTGTGAGAGGATCTAAATGAAGAACTTCTATGAAAACTCTGCCTTTATAGATAAAGCTTAATTCAAGTGCTATAATAATAACATGATTAGTTATAATATTTAGGTAAATGAAAAACAAATGGTGGTATAAAAAGTAAGCATTTCATACTTTCTGCAAGAAACATAATGTAACAATGCAGACATTTGCACTGTTTTCCTTCCCAAAAACAAACATATTCAAATCATGACAGTAACAGAAATATATTCAAATCACATACAAATCAGGAAGCTTATGCTAACGCTAGAAATGCTGACTCTCTTCCCTAACAATTGTTGACATTATAGCAAATCTGAATTGGACGAAAAGGTTGCAGTAGTGCTGAAAAGCAGGCAAAAGTACTATTGTCAGTATTAAAATTGATGCATGCGTATCTGTGGAACCCCTTTAATTATAGGCCAGGCTATACACAATCTTAATCTTGACTTCTCTCCAAGTCGAGATTAAGCAAGCCCTTTTTTAAGTCAATCAACTGTCAAATATCAGTGGAAAGTGTAGGCTTAGTATCAGAAGGGGCAGGGCTTTATCGTAAATAGAATAAAAGATGTAGTACTGTGTTACGGGGATATAAGACACAAACACACAGCGAATATTTTGCATGTGCATTTGCTTCCTATACAGATGAGAAAACCCTATCTGCAGCAACAGGTCAGGCGTGTTTGCTTTGTAAGGTTCAGCAGTCCTGTATGCAAACAGACATAATTGTAGTGGCATAGAAACAGGGATCATGGCAGTTGCAGCTGTGACTAGTTCTTCGCTTCCAGAATATCTGGTCTCCCTTAACGCTATCCACATCAGAATTTACTTTTAGTGCAGAACACGCTAAGCTGAGAGATGCTCACTAGTCACATTCTACAGATCAGAACCAAGCAAGGAAGTCGTTTGGGGCCAGAGCAGAGTCCACAGATGCTAACCAATCCGCTCTTGTGCTTGGTTTTGTTACACTACAGAAAAAGTGAGGTGCGCAGTCAGTAGGTCCAGCCCAAATCTTGCCCACCTATAGTTATACCATAGCAAGTGTCAAAAATCCTCCTGTGAATATCCATCAATTGATATTTGCTTTCAGACAAGCCTTTGAGATAATATAAGTCTTTGTGATAACATGCATTATCTAACCTGATGACAAGCCACTAACCTTATGAGTTTCAATACAAAAAAAGTGTTTTGCCCTCAGTTCACAGATTGAGATTGGCTGATTATGTGAATGAGAGGGAACTGCAGAGATGGGGGGGGGCGGAGTGAATTTTCCACTGCGATCCAAAAACTAATCACTACAGCTGTAGCCCCAAATTGTGCACAGAGTGAGGCTGTTATTACCCCCTTTTTTATAATTTTGTAAATTGTAATGTATTATTATCACTTTCTTGCTTTACAATTTGATTTGCATGTTTTAGAACTAATGCAATGGGAGTTTTTATACTTTACATTAGGGATGTCCCGATACCGATGCTAGCATCGGAATCGGGCACGATACAGGGCATTGTGACAAGTACTACTCCCAGCTGCCACTGACTCGTCCCTGCTCTTTCTGGCACAATGAGTGAGGGCAGATTTGGAGGGGGGGTTCTATTAAGCAACTATGTACTTGTGCCTGAAAAACTGGCATCGGGACATCCCTACTTTACATGGTGCTTCACATTTACATGACTGATATTTTGCAAAAGCCAGATATTTCTACACCTGCAGAGCTCTTAAGCACGTGTTTTTCACCCCAAAAAAGGACGATAAACATGTAACCACCCAAACAGATACTTTACAAACCTGACATTGCTGACGTAAAGGCCTTAGTTCTTTTATAACAGGGGCCAGTGCCGACTTCTTATCCGCTATCATGGCGTTCAACTTCTTTACCTAAAACAGTAAAGAAAACACAATATTCATGTTTATATGTCAAGAAATCCATATGAATTTTGCTTTACTAGACAGTGCAGATCAGCAATCGCTTATAAGTATATGTCCAGCTAAAACTTCCTTTCTTAGGGCCAGGACCCCTGGCAGGGTTTTACTGCTATCCAAGGCTAAGTTAGAGAGATTTACCCTTTACAGGAAGTAAAGGGAACCCTCCAACAGCATTGCAGGTTGCTGAGCAAGGAACATGCGCTTCAGTGTACAACAGGTTTATAGAGATAAATAAAAGATTTGCCTCTTCTCAATCCTAGGAGGTGGCTGCTGTGGATGTACAACCACAGATTAAGTAAGCAAGCAAATGCTATTATGTGCACTATGGCTTTTCTTTAACAAGCTCAATATTTTCCCATAATAACCAGTTTGTTATAAATAATTTTTCATAGATATCGATATGTCTTGTAGAATATGCATACATGCAAACATGAAACAGAATCATAGACCTATTAAAGTTATTAATATTACTGGAGTTTTGCCACCTCATGATGTCTGACATCATTTGGATTATATGAGGGTATTTTCTGCCAACAAGTTTAGAAGCAATCCATTATGATAAAAAGTATGTAAAAGACAGTAACAATTTAAAAAGTCAAGATTAAGTCAGCAGGGAGCAATCTGTACAATTAGCAGCAGAAAGATGCGAGTGGTCTTGACATTTCAGAAATTCCTATTACCACTGTACTGCATGTTACAGTGAGCCACTGCAATGTTACAGTGTTCGTGTCTTTAGATCATTAATTCAGATAGAGGAGAGGATTACAGACATGTCTAGTCCAAAAAGGCAAACCTACAAACCAACTAGTCTCTGACATCTACCCATAGCATAAAGGAGAGGAGAGGGCTTTCATTCATCCACTGTAGGTCAAACGGACACATTTCAGAAACCTGCCCGTTTAAGGACATTATTCTGTTAGGAAAAAAAACCCAAAACATTTTGGACTTGGCTTTATAGTCCCCTTGTTAATACTAAGTTTGATGACAAATTAATTATTGGTATACCCTATTAATAAAGCACCAACATACTGTGTAGTGCTATACATTCAAAAGTAAATGGGTGAAAACATAGACTTCAGACAAAAGGAGAAAAGGAGCCTGCCTGTATGAGCTTACAATGTAAGAAGTAGAAAACATTACACACAATACACAAGAGAGGTGGCAATGGAAGATGGTGATTGGAGTTGCTTGCATGGTAATGAATGGTTGGGGTAGAGAGGAAGATGTTTTAAGAGCTGGGTTTTAGGGACCGTTTAAAGCAGCCATATCAAATCGTTGTTTTTTGAGCAACATGTGGGCCTCTTGGTCCTTAATGGATTAAAAAGTGATGCTAAACTCAGGAGTTAAATCTTAAAAATGTATTCAAGTACCTTAACTATTAACAAAACTGTAATTTACACTGCGTGCACAATTATTAGGCACATTGTATTGTTGAGGACTAATTGCATTATTGAACAACTACAGTGCTCTCGGTCAATCCAAAATGTTAATAGACCTCAAACCTGAATATTTAAGAAAGTAAAAGTGAGGTTTTGGCTGTCTTAGGAGAACATCTATGTGTGCACAATTATTGGGCAACTATTGGTGTGCAAGATTATTATTCAACTAAATGGAAAACGAAAAATTTCCCTTCTCGCTTGTTTATTTTCATTTGTTAAAGTGAGAATAATAAACAATTCAAAATTTACAAATAAACATTTCAAAAAACAAAATCAGTGACTAATATTGCCCCCCCTTCTTTTCAATAATAGTCATAAGCCTTCCATCCATGGAGTCTGTCAGTTTCTTGATCTGTTGACGATCAACTTTTTGTGCCGAAGCAACCACAGCCTCCCAGACACTGTTCAGAGAGGTGTACTGTTTTCCTTCACCGTAAATCTCCCGTTTATGAAGGGCCCACAAGTTCTTAATAGGGTTTAGGTCAGTGAGGAAGGGGGCATGTCATTATTCTTTCATCTTTAAGGCCTTTACTGGCTAGCCACGCAGTGGAGTACTTCGATGCATGCATTGAGCATTGTCCTGCATAAATATCATGGTCTTGTTGAATATCATCATGGTCTTGTCCTCCGGGGGACTCTGACGCCGTCCTGCGCAGGCGCACTGAGAGAATCCCTCTCCTCGGTGCCAAGAGCAATCACCCTCCGGTGCAGGCGCGCCGCAGGGCTCCGCCCCCTCTCACCGCCGAGCTGGAGCTCCTTACTTAGCAGGCGCGCCAAGGGACTCCGCTCCATCCAGATCGAACAGTAGGCTTAAAACCGCTGCTCACTAATTTATCGGCGTCCTACTGTCGGTTGTAGCAGGATGCTGATCAATCAGTGTCCACCTCGCCTTATACCCGGATCCTCACAACAGCGAACAGATCAGCTGCCTTGGGAGGCTCCCCCCTGCGAAGGAGCTCCCAAAACCGCAAGTACTGGGGCTTAGCCCTCTGTGTCCCAGGAGACTCATATGATATTGCTGAACTCCATGGAATTTGCTTGCACATCCCCACCGATGCTATGCACTGTTAATCCTGCTTGATATTAGCTCTATTGCTGAACTCCATTGAATTGCTTGCACATCACCACTGATGCTATGCACTGTTTATCCTGCTTGATGTTAGCTCTTTTGATGAACTCCATTGCCTCTGCCTAAATACCACCACTGCTCCCAAACATCATTCACTCTGCTTGATAACACAGTTGTGCCGAGGGGTGGTTCCACAGTACCACTACCCCAGTAGAACTACTGTTCCCATTGACAGTACCTGGATCTCCCAGACATAACTGGAGTCACCCCGCCAAACCTACACCGGTTGTGTCTTCCACTTACACTCCTGGGGTATGATGTGAAGCAGCTCCCTCTCCGCCTAGCCAAATACAGGGCACCAGACGCATAGCTGCATAAACTGAGCCCCATCCTTCCAACCGGAAGGGAAACTCTGCAGTTGCGATCCATATAACCTCCCCAGTAGTAGCGAGGCTTTACAGGCAGTAGGTTTGGGAGTTGATTGTGAGTCCATCTTCAACCCGAAAAGGTCCAACTAGCTCATCTTTAATAATACCAGCCCATTCCATTACCCCACCTCCACCCTGTAGGCGTCTGAATCGAAGTGGAGCTCTGTGCTCGTTACTGATCCAGCCACGGGCCCATCCATCTGGTCCGTCAAGAGTCACTCTCATCTCATCAGTCCATAAAATCTTTGAAAAATTTGTCTTCAGATATGTCAAGGATCAGTCTTGACGTTTCAACTTGTGCCTTGTTCAGTGGTGGTCGTGTTTCAGCCTTCCTTACCTTGGCCATGTCTCAGAGTACGGACACTGTGTACTTCTGAGCACTCCAGGTAGGTTGCAGTTCTGGAATATGACAGCACTGGAGGATAATGGGTTCCCGGGAGCTTCATGTTTGATTCTTCTCAAATCTTTGGCAGTTAATTTGGCAGTTCCTTTTCAACACGTTTCTAACGACCATGTTGACTATTTGCAATAAAACGTTTCATGGTTCCGTGATCATACCCCAATATCTTAGCAATTTCAAGAGTGCTGCATACCTCTAAAAGACTTTTTACAAATTCTGACTCTTCAGAGTCAGTTAAATTTCTTTTTTGGCCCATTTTGCCTAAGGAAAAGAAGCTGCCTAATTATTATGCACACCATGATATAGGGTTTTGATCTCCTAAGACCACACCCTCCCTCATTACACAAATACACCACCTGATATGCTTAAATCTAATAAGCCTTCAAGTTTATACAGCTTGGAGCTAATAATTGTGCACACAGTGTATTTGTGCATCACTCGGCTGTAGATCCTCAAATCATGTCTGAATAGGTGCAGACACTGTCCTTCCTTCTGGAGGGGGGCTACTTTTGTTCCCCATGGTCCCTGTGTTTGTTGTAAAGTAGCCACCGCTCCAAGGTTACTCCCATGATAGACTATAACTTCAATACGAAATTGGCTAACTAAATGTGAGATTGTAGTTCATCATGGGAGAGAGCTTGGAGTGGTTGGCTACTTTACAACACAACAGTCCCACAGGACCTGGGCTGCCTGCAAATGAAAGAGCAGCCTGAAGGAACTTACAGCAGAAACTGAACATAAACCTGTAAAAACGTGTGAATAGAAGACTAGGTGGCAGCCTTGCAAATCTGGGACACAGTTGCCTACTTCCATAAAGTCCAAGAAGCACTCACATATAGTGTGCCTTGACAGGAAAGGGTGAAACTCGATCCTTAAGACCATGAGTATGGATTATGATACGTCGGAGCCACCTAGAAATGGTGGAGAAAAGGGACCATCAAGGATGAAAAAGTGAGCATTGGTCTTTCTAATGAGAGCAGTGGCTGTGAGCTGGATACACACTAGTAGAAGTTGCAGGCTTATCTTCTAGGTTTCTAGTGATACACGCCGCTTCAATAAGAACCAAAATGCTCTCTTTAAGCCTGGGAGTAATGGCAGCAGCCTGTGACTCTTCAGGGGCAATATTATCCGATAAAGATTTCTGACACTCACCATCAGACTACACTTCTGCAGCAGAAGGCTAAGAGGCTGCTAAGGCCACAGGCAGATCAGAAAACAATTCTGCAGAGGACGGCGTGGAGGCATGCTTTTTGGCCTCTGCAGTCAGGGTCAGTAATCAAGGTTGATATTCGGCCCATAAAATCCTGCATAACTGCAGTGAAATCCTCCAGGGCAACATTCTGACGACATCATCAGGGCTGTTAGTGGACTGTGAGCTGGAAAGATCCATTAAAGCAAGACTGTTCTCCATGTGTCGGGTACAAGGTACGGGTACAAGGTACTAGGCCTTGAATACTCATGAATAGGAGGTGCACCAAAATTAAAATGTCAAAACTGAAACGAAACCGAAATTTAAAAAAATGTCAGGCCGAAACTGGAAATGTTTTTTATTCTAACTTTTTCAAATTTTAAAAAATATTTTATTTTTATCTATCAACTTTTTTTTGTACATTTTATTTTTATTTATTCTTATTAAATATTTTTATTTTTTACTTTACTTTTAGGGGCTTCGGGGGAAATATTAGGGGTCTATACTGAGTGTTCCTGCTCATTCATAACTTGTGGACATAGTGGGGGGAATTTACTAAAACTAGAGCAGACAAAAACTGGGGCAGATGTGCACTGCAACCAATTAGCGTCTCTCTTCAGTTTGTTCAGTTAAGATTTGAAAATGAAAGATAGAAGCTGATTGGTTACAGTACACAACTGCTCCAGTTTTTGTCTGCTCCAGTTTTGATAAATTCCCTTCTGTGTGTTTACTATATCCACAATAATGAATGAACAAGAGGTGATGTAGATCACTTCCCATTCATTCATAATTGAGGACACAGTAAACATACTGTGTCCTCAATTATTTACAAGCACTCAGCGATCACTGTCCTGTCCTGTCACAGGAGGCTGGGCAGGGTGGTGCGGGAGGAGAGCTCAGTCTCCTGTGAAAACAATGACAACTGTCTCCGCCCACACCACCGCTCTCCATACTGGATTGACTGTCACAGGAGACTAGGCAGGGCGGTGAGGGAGGAGAGCTCAGCCTCCTGTGACAGCAATGGCTGTCTCCACCCACACTGCTGCTCTCCTGACCTGTGACAGGAGGCTGAATGGTGCAGGGAGGAGAGACGCCGACCGCTCACAGTGCTCTCCTCCCGCAGCGCTCGGCCTCCTGTGACAGTTTCTCTGATCGGCCAAAAGCGCCATTTTCGGCCGTTATGTTTTGGAGGCCGATATATCGATGCATCCCTACTCATGAACTGTGAGTAATTCAGATGGGTGACCAGGTCACCAGGTGAAAGAGCACACAGCAAGGACCAGCCGAGAAGGATCCCTGTATCACTTAAGGAGCAGTGGTGATGAGGAGTATCCTCATGCTGAATTGTGGGAAGAGCGCTGAACATGCGTGCAAGACACTCCACCTAAGAAATTACTTTTTTCAGTAGAGAATAGACATTCCTCCTCCTAGGACCAGGGGGGGGGCGACCTACCACAGGTGCAGCTGGTGTGGCTCGGCTCCCTGATGGGTCCGGTCCCAGGCCCCCCTCCCCCAATTGAAGACAGCATGGTCCGCGTTAATTTTTTAATTGACGCGGCTACCGTAAGGTCCCGCAGTTGCTAGGGACCTCATGGCAGCCCATGGTGCTCATAGGTCACTCCTCTGGATGCACATTAATGAAGCACTGCTCTGGTGCCTTCCATTTTAACCCCCACAATAATCGCTTAAGGAAGAATTTTTGTGCCTGTTACCGGAGGACAGTCGTGCTGCTGCCAGGGGGGTGAGTATAGTGCTCTCTAGGTTTTGGAGATGTGCTGGGTTTTGGAGGTTGCAGTAGCTTTGTAGGGTTGGCAGAAGGGCATCTTCTGCAGGAGTTTCCTGCCCCCCCAGTATTGGAGGGTAAGGTGGGCAGCTGAGTTGTTGGTAGCCCCAGCTGTGCATGCTGAAGTGTCCCTGGAGGACGAGGTTGTAGCAGAGGAGGGTGCAGGGCAGGCAAAGGGTACATAGGAAGGTATCTACATGCCCTTTAGGGGCTCACTCTGGGTGCCATGACTCCATGCACAGGGGCCACATGGTGGTCCCTCCAGACTCCTGCATGTGTGACTGTCACGTTGAAGCTGCAGGCACACAGGACTGATCTGTGACCTGTCTGATACATCACAGAGCGGACCCCAGACATGTACCCTGCCTGGCATATCACAGAGCAGGCCCACAATATGTTCCTACCTGATATATCACAGAGAGTGGACTCCCAATATGTTCCTACCTGATATATCACACAGATCGGACACCAGATTTGTGCCCTGCTTGGTATATCACATACAGCACAAAATGGTATTGGTACAACCCTAGTGTGTGACTGCAGGGATATTAGAATGTAAGCTCTTCTGGTGCAGAGACTGTTGTGACTGGTTCAGTGTTTTCTGTACTGCACTGTGGTATATGTCAGAGGCGAGCTATAACAATGTATAATAATAATACCGTAGTGGGTGACTGTGGGGGAGGACATAGAGTGTAAGCTCCTCTGGTGCAGAGACCAGTGGGGATCGAGGCCAAGGGGGAAGGGGCACTGAGATCCAGTCCGGTCCCGATTCGAGAAAAATCTCGAATCAGGGCCCTTTGTTCCTTAAGGCCACAACTGCCTAGAACACTAGAAAAAAGCATGATGGGAGTAGGAGGAGTTATACAGGGCTGGTCACTATTTCTTGTTTGCCAGTGCCCAAATCCTTCTGTGGGAGGCAATATAACCCAAAAGTCTTTGAATTCCTGAGTCCCTCCATGAAGGAGAAAGAAAAATACAATTCTAAATATATAAACATTCCACTGAGGTCCTGCCATTAATTATGTGGGATTACAGTTATTGCAGTAATCTGTGTAATGGTAACAAAAATATTTATAATAATATTACCATTTCGGACATGTCATCCAGAGTTCGTCCCTTCATTTCATCCACTTCGCTTTTCAAGGCAGATACTCTCTCCAACTCTTCCTGGGTGTCACTGTACCCAGATATGCCTCTTTTCTGCTCTATGGCTTGCTGGGGGGGGGGAAAATATATAAATATAATGGAGGAATTAATTTACACAATATTCTCATGTTTGCAGCAGTTTTCAATTCAATATATTTTTGCACCTCTGCTAACTACAAATTCTAAGAGCATTAGCAGAAGGATCATAAATAAAACACATTTTATATTTAGCTAGTGTAATCTGCAAGATGTAGGAAGAAATATAACAGTGAAGTATATTATGCAATATAAATCAAACCACCAGTTGTAAACACTGCTGAAGCTAACCTCCTGGCAAACAGCTGGATACACAGTTAAAATGAATACATGGGAAGTAACATGACAAAGGATTTGTATTTTTGTTTATCCAGTCCTGAAATTTACAATGCCCTGCCAGACAGCACCATCAGCATGGTGACCTGAATTATCTCTACTGCCATTAAGCAATACAGCATTGGCAATATCCCTGCCCCCTGCCTGTGATTGGAAAAGGAAGAAGCGGCAGTAGACCGATGAGGTAATCTCTTTGCTTTCTACAGCTTTTCTGTGTCAGCAAATTGACATACCTCTCTCATAGTGCTGCTGGTACAAAAGCAAATTCAGGTGCTTACAGTAGTGTCACAATTGTATCACAAGACAACACGCGCATGCATGCTCTGAAATGCAGCTGAAGGCCTAGAGTCATAGCCAGACATTTTCATGTGAGTGTGCTGCACATGTACATGTGTATTCCCAGAATGGATATTCTGCACTTGTGCCACTCTGTGCCCTCTCATCTCCTCTGCACCATTCTAGGCATGATTGGACCAGAGGTGTAGGGGAAACCTCTCGTCACTTTAGCCTCTAACCAGGTATGTGATAAATAGTTTAATATAGTTAATGATTTTTTTTTTTTTTTTAACAAATACATCATTGTATTATTGGTGTTTTTTTTATATCTGCCTAGAGTTAAGAGCCCAGTCACACTGACAAACTTCAGTGGGTAAAAACTGACTGGTAATGAAAGATAAATCTTTAAGTGCCTTGAATGAAAAAAATGACTGTGCCACTGTATGCAGAAGGTTTTCTTCTGCTTCATTAAATCTTCATTAAATTCAACTTAGGGAAATGGAAACAGTATAAAATATTTGACATTTCTATTTTTTTTTGTAATAAAGACAAATGATTACCTATTACAGGTCATCTATAGTTCACCGACTCTGAAGGCCCCTTTCACATGGGATTTCGGATCAGGTCCGACTATCGGTTTTTCAGGCGGACCTAATTAGAAGCCCGATGTTAGTGTATGGGCAGCCGGATCTAAATGGACATGCGTCTGTTTACATGCAGTTGCACCTGGCTCCGGCCAGGTCCGAAAAAACAAACTGATAAAAGAACTGTTTCGCCAGATCTGATCATGCCGTATCGGGGGAAACCGGATGTAAATGGACACCAGGTCGGTTAGATCCAGCTGCCCATACACTAACAAGGATCCGGGAACTTCATTTTTTTCCTTCGCAAGATGGAGAAAAAAAACTGTACGGTCACAGATGTCACACATTCTGATCAGGAGGAGATCTGTGCTCGGATCCCCTCCTGATCGGACAGTGTGAAAGGGGCCTAAGACTGAATATTGAATAAGGACAAATGGGAACTAAACTGTTGCTGTTACTGGTTTCAGACATTACAAGAACCCTAATGGGGAAGGACCTCTAGTTTATGTGCTATAGGTTCACTTTATACGTGTAACTAAAATTATTTTAGTATATTATATACAGGCAGCATCAATCTATATTTCAGTATCATTATAGCTTATAAAATAAATAGACTTCTACAATAATTAACAAATAAATTCACAAAGGGGATGTCTCACAAAACATCCATGACTAAAGCGTCACTATTCTTAAACTCACAACAGGGTCAGTGTAATTTTGCTGAATTACAGCCCTTAATAGACATGGGAAATCCATGCACTGTTACAAAGTCTGTAAAGTTATTTTGGCTTCTTGTCAACGTTTGAGTGATGCACTTTGTCTAACCCACTCCACAAGTTACCAAGTAATCACACTCTATGTAAATTCTCTTCAACATATTCCAGAGTATCTCTCGCTCTGTTAATCAACACTTGTCTCTTTGGTGTATTATAAATCACATTTACAGAACCCGTTTTGTAAATTGCAAACATCCAAATTAAGTAGTGCAATGTACCCAAATAAAAAAAAGGCAGCTATACAAATTAATAATTGATTTTGCAAATATTCATTGGTTTTACATTTACCTAGTGTTAGCTGCATTATATAATGGGTCAACCTTTAAAACACTTTACAGCTTTCCTTTGATGCACACTGTGCATTTCTATAACTTTTGGGAAGCCTATCCAGCTCTCTATTAACATCACAACAGAACAGACTTTTTTCCATTCTCCAAACAGTCACACAGCATGTTATTTGGATAGACAATTTCCACACTGATAATAACCTGCACAATGAAAACATGCTTGCTTGCACAGTCCTGACCAGTTGCTCTTTACATAATGGCTTTAGGCTCTGAAACAACATACTAGAAGTCTTCTTTGATGCCGAGGCCCCTATTTTTAAAGGGTAATGGTACATTTTCAGACTTAATAAACAGATTTTTTAAAATAACGGCTAATGTAGTAACCCGTAGCAAACCATTAGAATTCATCTCGTACTGGTCAGTCAGCTCTGTTCGATTGCTTTTAGCTACTGCAATAAGAATTAAGGCTTAGGAATTAAACATTTCATCCATGAAGAACACCCTCTTACCTCTTCCTACTCCCCCTGGTTTTTGAAAGGTATTATCACAGACACAGACCATTGTAAATATTGCTTTGTTTACATTTATTCTGCACCATATAAATTAAAGAGCAACATGACAGACAAAGATTGTGAAGAACAAAGGCGTCAAGGATCACTCTAGACATGCACTTTATTTTTCAATGCTGGCTGTCTGAAAGGACTTGGGATGGAGGATGGACAGGGATTAGCTAAACATTTGCTAGGGTTGCTGCTTGTGATCTGCACTGTGACCAGTGATTACATTAGTTGAGTGCAGTACAGAAATAATCATTAATCCTGGCAATTAGGGCCGTCTCTTTGCCTCAGGTGGCAACTTTTTTTGTAAATGTTTGCAGTGTGCCTGCCACCCTCTTTCCAGCCAGAGTGTACCAGGTTGCTAAGAGCCAGAAAAGGAGATGTGTAAGGGCCATACACATCTTCCCACCCAGCTCTAAGCAAGCTGGGACACTCTGGCCGGCATCCCGCTGAGCTTCTGATAACCAGTGATGTCACTGCTTGCCAGGAGCTCAGTGGGAAACCAGCCGGAGTGTCCCAGGTTGCTCTTAGCGGTGTCACTCTCCACCAGCACCACTCCTCCCAACAATTGTGCACCATCCAGCAACACCACTGCCACTGCAGGCAGCAAAAAGGCTAGGGACGCCCCTGCTGGCAATGAACATATTGAATCAAACAGGTAAATGTAACCAATGCCTTCCTTGTTGTTTTCAGTCCTGGTCAGTCATGTTGCTAGTTGTAAAGTGCAGACTGCAGACAGTCTAAATGTAAACAAAGCAATGACAGCTCTCAAAGCATATCAAAATGAAAGCTAGAAACAAAAGGTTTGTATTTGAAAGGCTGCTTGTTGGTGCTGGATAGAATAAAGTCTGACTAAAAGTACAGCTATGACCGGATTGATTAAGATAAACTCAAAATATGGGCCCAAAAGTGCGAATTTTTTTTTTTATTTCAATAGATTTTTATTGGCTTATAAAGCATAGAAAGTACATACATTGTATATTCCACCAGGTCAGATATTGGGATACATGCCAAACACAATCAACATGGTTAACATTAGTCAGACACTAAGTCTCTGATTACGAACATTGCGAGAGCAAGAGGCTATGGTTTCCCATATCTGCTGCCACGGTAGTCCCTCTCTATCCCCAGGTCAGCAGCCCAGCTGTGCATATATTTATGGGTCGAGGGGGCGCCAACAGAGCGGAGGTTTGCGTATATCTGGGAGATCAGGCCCGGCGAGTGAGGATCGTCTCTGCAACACCTCTCAAACTGGGTCAACAAAGGACACCCTACCGGGAAGCGTATCGTGCTGGTAACTAAATGCTTCACCTGTAGGTATCGGAAAGGGACACAGTCAAAAGTGCTAATTTTTGAACATCACTACCCATGAGCTTAGTCTGTAACCTGGAAACTTACCAATTGTTGCTGCAAGCTATCATGGCGCTGCTTCAGGATTTGCTCTGTTCGTTGAAGAACACCACATTCTGCTGTAAGATCAGCCAGTTCTTGACGTTTCTTTTTAAAGACTAGACTTTTCCCTCTAAGCTTGCTCAAATAACGTTTAAACTAGAAGAGAAAAAAAAAAAGTTAATTTTGATGGCGAGAACACATAATTGGTGATGGAACAGAGAACAAAGATTATGCTAAAGAGGTGATGGGTTAATAAAAGTCAGGAGAAGGGGCCATAGGTATGGCAGGGAGTGCAAAGCAGAACATCAAAAGGAGTGTCCGTGGGGCCACACGACTTATTAAGCAAAAGTTTAGGAAAAGGTTTGAGATAATAATACTACCCTAATTTTACAGTTTTTATATATCGTCCTCGAGGAAATATGACTGAGAAATGTTATAGCCCAAATATAGTTTTATTTAAAACTAAATAAATTCACTGAGGGTGAAATAAAACTGAAGACTTTGAATGTTTTAATATTGTTTTTCTCTGAAAGTCAGCTCCAGCGAAAGCACAAAGCTATCTTCCCCAGGCATCAGTCTGCTCTCTGTGTGACAGAGCAGTAGTTTGTCTGCAGTGATCTGGCACTCCCCCACTGAGTTCTTCAAGCGGCAAAGCTGATGCTCCATGTTGATTGGACCATGAGCTGTGCTGACTTAGCCTGGCCATACACCAGAATTTTGTTTTCGGAACGTTTATTCAATTTTCTAATAGTTAAAGCAGAGCTCCTGTGAAAATTATTAATAACCCTTGTGCGGTTACCCCCGCACTGCAAGGGTTAAGTGCTCGTTTCGGTCTAAGGAGGAAAATAACACAGTTATACTCACCTGATCCTCGGAGCCAGCCAGCTGTGATAGCGCTCTCTCCAGCCTGTATCCTCCTACACTCTGTGTCCTCATGCCCAATATACTGTGTATAGAACGTGATGATTCATGGGACCTTAGACTGCTGCAGCGAAGGTGGAGCGAGGCTCCGAGACCAGTCTAAGGCCCCGTTCACACTGAGCGATTTATCGCACGGTAATTCCCACGATATCGCGGCTATTTACCGCGCGATATCGCTCTCCAATGCATGGCAATGGGGCAAAGGGTCCTGCTGTCGCGGGTCGTGCGTCGCTACAGCAGGACCCTTTTTGGAGCGGATTTTGCAGCGATTCAATGCTTTTCAATGCAAGCATTTGCGCGATATCGCGCGATTTGCAAATCACTCAATGTGAACGGGGCTTTAGAGCAAGCCAGCTCAGAGGATAAGGTAAATATAACGTTGTTATCTTCCTCCCTAGACCAAAATGAGCACTTAACCCTTACAGTGTGGGGCTGGCCCCACTGCAAGGGTTAATACTAATTTTTCCTGGAGTTCCTTTAAAGTGACATTAAACTAAATGTAACTTATTTGTGTATCACTCGGCTGTAGATCCTCAAATCATCCTTCCTTCTGGAGGGTGACTGCTTTTGTTCCCCATGGTCCCTGTGTGTGTTGTAAAGTAGTGACCGATCCAAACTCACTCCCATGATGGACTACAATCTCGATACAAATCAGTAAACTAAATATGAGATTGTAGTCCATCACAGGAGTGAGCTTGGATCGGTGGCGACTTTACAACACACGCAGGGACCATGGGGAACAAATGTAGCCCCCCTCCAGAAGGAAGGAGAGTGTCAGTACCAATTAAGAGATGATTTGAGGATCTACAGCCGAGTGATACACAAATAAGATATATTTTTGATATTAGTTAAAAGGTACTTGAATGTATTTTTAAGATTTAATCCTGAGTTTAGTGTCATTTTAATGGGGTCACATTGAGTTTTGTTTTTGACCGTAAATCGAAGCAGCAGGATGGGAATTCGTTCTTGAAGGAACAAAATGTTAACAGTGAATGTGTTTTTTATTCGGGAGACTCCATTTATTCCCAAATGGAGTGTTAAAATGAAATTTTAAATTACATTATCGAATGTTCTGACGAGATTTTTTTGTATGAACGCTTGTGCGAAAATCTACCAGTGTATGGTGAGCTTTACATAGCATTGGAGGACAAGGAAAGCCACATTAAAAGGAACCCATTCACAAAAAGACAAAATAAAAAAAACACAGGTCAGCAAGCATAGAAAGGCAGGGCACACATTAACCTTTAAGTACAAGGTATAGACACAAATATGCAATAAAATGCATTTTTACATGAATTATTTTAAATCTTAGCCATCACATGTCAGTCAGGCTCCCCATTCACTGCAAGGCATGGACAAAAAGATGCAAAACAACTACATTTGTCATCACTCTTCTTCAGTCAAAGCTGAAGACCTGAGATGAAAAATTGCTACTCATTACTAGCAGGACAGAATGTACGCTTATCAGCCATTGCTTATTCAGGTTTCAATTTTACAGATGACCACGATAACATCAGGGCATATAAATAGTTGCAAGGATTGTCCGTATAAAAAAAATTTAATCTACGGATATTATAAACAAACATGCTTTATAGAGAAACTGTATGTTCTATTAATGTTCCATGAAAGTAGCACCGGCAGTTTGCCTAAAATAAAACATAACCACTTTGTTATCATGAACTATATTTAGACCATGTTTGGGATGGTTCTGTTCCAGAACATTTTAGGATCCAAGCCGGGTATAAACATTTCTGATCAAAGAACTTATTAGATTTGTAAACGGACAAATCTCACAACACTGGGCTACATGCACATGCTCATTTCCGATCCATAGTCTCATCCTTCATGCTGTGGTTCAGATGAACTACCGTATATTTTGCAGTGCAGAAGTCTTTAACATTCATGAAATAGATTTTCTCTGAATCAAAACAAGGCGACGCCCCTTTCTGGCAAGTGCACCAATGACAATGAATTGCACAACAGTTTGTGGAAGTGTATAACAGAGGTAATAATGTGAGGGCTAAAAACAAAGAAAAATGCACAAGATTGTGAATCTCTTCAATCAATAGGCTTGAGAATATCCATTAAAACATTATTTTTCATTATTTAAAAAAAAAACATAAAATGTCTTAGAATTAATGTGTAGTATTAGCACATTAAAGTTCAATTAAAATCTCAGCTAAGTGAAAGCTAAGAATTAAAAAAAAAAACCTGTTTTTTTTGCATGATTGGATGACTGAAGTCAGCACAGTTTCACTTCATTCATTAAGCAAAATGAAAATTCCCTTTTTAAAGTGAATATGTACTACTCCTTTAATAAATCAACCCCAACGGGACTAATTTATGAGAGTCTTAGGGCCCGTTCACACCAGTTGCAGTGCATTCCGGCCCGATTCTGTCCGGAACGCACTGCCCCGCATTGCGGCCGGCTCACTTTATAGTGGGGCAGGGGGGGGCATGGCGGGCCATTGAAGTGAATGGCACCATAGCCATGCCCTCTGGCCGCAATGCGATCGCCCGCACTGGATCGCAAGGCACATTGTGCCTGCGGTCCGGTGCGATCAAAATAGTGCTTGCAGCATTTTGATCGCACCGGACCGCAGGCACAATGTGCCTTGCGATCCCGTGCAGGGCGATCGCATTGCGGCCGGAGGTCGTGGCTACGGTGCCATTCCCTTCAATGGCCTGCCACACCCCCCCCCCCTCCACTAAAAAGTGAGCCAGCTGCAGTATCGGCCCGGAACGCACTGCAACTGGTGTGAACGGGCCTATAGCAAACATAGTGAAGAACCTCATCATAATTACAAGCTAAAACTTGATTGCTTGGTCAGCAGTTCAAGGAGTGCTGTCACCTACAAAGTATGAAGGCTGGCAATGCTAGTTGCCTTACATAAAATGGACCTTTACCCCCTTTCACTAAAACCACCTCCTGGTTCTCTTAGGCATTAGTGATGGAGCCTATACCAAGATTATTTGTACCGAGTGGCGCTGTGTGCCCCCTGTGCAGGCCCAGGACTGGCACAGCGGGTCTCCCTGCATCGATCGGAGAGAGATCAGCAAGCTTCTAGCCGCTGATCTCTCCTCCGATCACTGGACCCAGAAGTGATGTGTAGTACATCACTTCAAGTGTCACTGTGCACATTCTCCATCTCCTAGAGCCAGGAGATGAAGCTGGTGAAGCAGATCTCTGCTTTATCAGCTTCTTTGGGGTCGCTAATGTCTCCATAGAGAGGACCTGTCATATCATATTTGCTATTTCATAGGGGGCTTGTTAGCTCCCTATGTGATAGCAATAAAGCAAAGTGTAAAAAAATAAATAAATGTGTTACAGATCGCTGCGAACGTTGGAGTGAGAGCAATAATTCTAGGGTCATCAATCACTGTTAACACTAAACTGATAAGCAGTAAAAGCTTTTAAAGCAACGGCTATAGGAAACTTTGGGTAACGTAGTTTTTTTGCGGTTTCATGGGCGTACCCAATTTTAAGGCTTCATTTATTTGGTATCAATTTACACTTTTCGGTGTGGTACCCCTGGACCGAAGGTTTGACCCTGAGCTCTTATACTTTTAGATACCCTTGCGGCCACAGTCACTCACCACCCCTACTGTATGTTACCCTCCCCCTAGTTTCTTCCTCTCTTCCTTTGCTCAACTACCCCCCAACCCATGTTCTTATACTCTTTAAGCTCACTGATGCTTTATCGGTGGACCCACCAAAATTAAAATTTGGAAAAGTTAATACAAATTATGGAACTGCAGAATCAACTGGTCCCCTGAGAACTGGCCCTGATATCCTGTTATAGGTGGCTCCTTTCCTTTGCAGGGTCCTATGGAGCTACCTTTGCATGTGCTAGTAAGCTGTGTGTCTCCACAAACAAGCAGGCACAGCAGGGCAAGCGACTTTTCTGCTACCCGCTCCTCTTTCTTCCTTCTCCAGGCTAGTAGATGAAGATCTGCTGGAATCTGCTCTGTCCCTTATGATCTTGTACTGGACAGAAAGTTCAGGAAGCGGAGCTGAAAGAGTTGGAGCCAGCTGTTCAGAAACTTGATGACTAAGTGCTTGGGCAAGAAAATAAAGATATACTTTTCTGGGTGATGTATATTCGTTTGATCTGGATTCATTATTGAAATAAAGTTTGAGAGTTTATTACTACTTTAAAGAACAGCTCCTTAACCCCCGACCCCACACTGCAAGGGTTAGCGGCTAGTTTTCCCTCTAGGGCCTAAAATAAAAA